TATCATAATCAGAGGTCTGTTTATTCTCAGGCAGACAGCAGGCAGTAAAACACGAAGAACCCCCCTCACCTACCCCATCTACCCCACCATACACCCTCAGCTGTGCTACATTTCTCTTTCACTCATCCCACCCTCCATCCTTCTCTTCTGTTCAACTATTCCCATCTCTATCAAGCCTTCGCCCCAGGACCTTAGGCCACTTTACATTCTTGACATATTCCACCATCATGGCCCATCATCACCAGCACAGACTTGACCTGATCATATATCAGTGTTATAGTCAGTGAACACTTATCTGCAGCCGGGGAGACAGACTCACAGACCATTCATTCCACATTCTGTGGCAATGAGGAAATAATTACAAATGACAAGTTTGTCAACAACAGGTGTTTTAACTCTTATCTTCTGTTTGCGATGCTGGAGACCGTGGATATAGTTTAATAGCTCATAAATCTCAATCATACCTCTTTCTGCTTTATGACTTTTTATAATTAATAATAAAAAATAAAAAAATGTTTAAGTACACTGCCTGTACAGGGTGCCAGATTCATTTGCTGCCCAATTTGTGTAAAATGGAATTAGTCATTTGACTCGATATCATCACGAGATGAAAAGTAAAAAAACAACTGTGAATTTCAAAATAAAACAAATTGGCTAATTAGTTATTTTTTAAATGTCTGTTGTTCTTCAAAACAATGCAGAAATATAGGTGATACCAACAAAACATTTGGGTCAAATAAAAAATTAAGCCTACATACAAAGGGTTTCAAAATGGATCTGTTTTTACAGGACACAAAACATAAGAATGTATGTTTCCCTAGCACAAAATAGAATTTAGGAAATAATACATTCAGTAGTTTCTGAATTATGCACCTTTTACTCCATTGTAGTGTTTTTATTTTATGCCGTCATCAGGATTTAATGAGGCAACAGCAGCTGGTCACACACTTGGAGTTTTCCAACTGACTATAGATAAGACAATCTACTGATAACTTAGCAAGTAAACAATGTCGCCGGCGTTGCTCTCTCTCACACTCTGACTCTTTCTGTACTTTTTCCTCAGGCTTTATCTAGCATTGAATGTTTTTCACTTAAACTCACACTCTGCTAACGGTGCCCATCATCCATCGCCAAATAGGCCGGCTGTTACAAAACACACTCTGTTTCATGCCAGGGTGCCGGCTCTGACAACACATCTCAGCCACTTCTTTATGTCAGAGTGTCTGTGTGTGTGTGCGGGAGAGAGAGAGAGAGAGAGAGAGTAGGAATTAAAAAGAGATTCAGTGATAGACATAGATGTATGTGTATTTATATTGGTTTTTCACTATTTGGCTACCACTGATCATTTAGGGATGCCAGTTTCCCACAAACTCATTTCACTTTAGACTCCATTCTCTCTTGACATTTGACCTCTGAATTTTCTTCCCAGAATATGCCTGTGTTGTTGCATTTTTTCTTGTCTCCCTGCAAAACAAAAACGCATGCCAAAATCATCCTGGCAAACTAACAATAAGCTAATGACCTCATTGTTAGATCTACGAACCATTCGTACATTTCGTTGTACTGTAATGTTTGTTCGTGTGTGTATGTGTATGTGTGTGAAGGTAGAATTTAATCTTTGATACTGTTATCAGTTCCATGGTGCTGGAGGACTGTTTGAAAGACCCACTGCAGCTCTGACCTACTTGTGTCAGTGTACGGGGCTACATGTAGACTGTTTTTCTTTGAGTGTGTGTTGCATGTGTGTGTGTGTTTATTAGCGCTTTGGATGGTGTGTGTTTGAGGCGAACTCTCTGTGGACGCAGGGAGTGTGAGAAGCTGGGTGTTTTGACAGCTTTAGAAGAGTTCCAGTACAGTGCTGGGGCAGGGGGTGTGCGGGCCTGTTGGACATTCGGGCGATCTGTAGGGGTGAGAATAGGGTCAGTGGAGGAGTGGACAGGAGGGGATGAGATGAGAGGAAGAGTTTCATTACAAAATGCTCTATGGCTATAAAATGGTATGCTTAATATGAAATAAACTCATGTTGTCATCTGAAATCACTCCATCTGAGCTTAATGGAATTCACTTGCACCATAATCTAAACAAGTAGAGAATATATATATATATATATATATAATATTTTACAAGAACAGGTGTCACATTTTTAAAAAGGTGGATTGTTGACTGCAAAATGTAGTCCTCCTTTTCCTGATGGAAAGTCCATCCACTTGCATAGGTAGGATGAAAGGGAAAAAAGTATTGTCAGGATACCAAATTATACAATCAATCGCCTGATTTCTCTTCAAATGTACTTAGCAACCAACTACAAACTAAATTAACTAAACCATATGAACTAATACTACTTGTCATTTGCTGAGATTGAACGAAATGTTATCATCTAAATGAACGTGTTGAAACGTGTCAAGCCTTCACTAATACTTGAGGATGAGGATAATACTTAAGAATACTTGGATGGCATTGAATATACTGCAGACTAAACTGAGTATTTGTCCAAGCAGCAGGACACTACTTGTTGAAGTAGTCATGCCAAAGAGTGATCTCAGCTCATTCTCCCAACTTTAATCTCACCAAAGTGTAAAAGCTATGGGAGTAGACTTCCCACACAGTTAATAAAAGAGAGATAAAGCTCATAAACAAAGCCACACAGTCCTTTTTGTACTACTGTAGCTGAAAAGGCCAGACATCACCTCAGCCTGTGCCGCTTAAGAGTTCTCTCACAAGTACACCTCTCCAACAAAAGGGGCCGCCTCTCCACATTTCTAAGCCCTCTCAGTGCCTGTGCTGTTGAACCCCTGCTTTCTCCTGCAGCATTCCAGCCCATCTTTCATGCTGTTTTATTCTGGCCATGCCAGCCAGGTCAGGGGGCAGTGTTTTCTCAGGGCTTCAAGACAACTCTGGACAAATTGATTTAAAAGAGACATCTTCACAAGTTGCACTGAACTCCTGTTCACTTAATTGTGGTGTTGGTGCTGTGTTATTGCATGTTATGTGCAAGAACGTACAGCGAACAAAGTCTGCAGGGATGCAGGGATGGACTGAGGAGCCCAAGGGTCAAGTAATAGATTTGTGGTTTGCTATTGCTTGTTTCATTGAAGTTGTGCACTCTAGGCATATAGTCTGACAGGCACTGTAGAACTTCACTAGGATCTATCACAAAGTTGTGAGCTCGGTGCTGTGGCCTTGAGTGACAGCACTGACATAAGCAGAGTTTGTTTCAGAGAGGTCAGTACCAAATTCTACCAGTAGATGTCTGTCTTCAGTTTTCCACAGTCATGAAACAAAGTTGGTAGATCTGACTGCCCAGGGTCCTCACACGGTCAAACAATGCAAAATGCCTCAAATGAATTGTTAGATAAAATGTAATCTAATCTAATAATCTAATACAAATTCCACTTTCACCTCTTATCTCGAATTGCAGGCGTGATGATAATGAGGGCAGATGGACTCAAGAGAAGGTTCCTCTCTGAAAAAAAGGTCTAGGCAAAGTTTCCAGTTGGATAACATTAAATTTACAAAGCAATTTAAGTATAAAAATAGTTTAGCTGGCAGAATAGTGAGGTATTTTTGCCTTTTGGCGACATGGCAGCATTTTTCTCCTCTGGTGCAGCTTAACATTCCAGAAATGAATTCCCAGACATTGAGATTGTGGAAAAATATGAGGGTAAAAGGCTGGGTACGGCTGCCTTTTTTTCTTGGCTCCTGTATTGGCTTTTGTAGCCATACACAAGTGTTGCTATGTGGTAGCTAGTTGCTATGCCTGCACACCCAGAATAACCATAGAAGAAAAAACTCTCTCCATTGCCCATGAGTAATAACTACACCATTGCATAATTTATCTGGATGTTACTCTTGATAAGGGATTATTATATTATTATATGTATAAACAAGGATTAAAGGATACATTTAAGCTAAAATCAGATCTACATTTATAGTTTTGCAATTTTAATATATTTTATTCATTTGTGTAAACGATTGCCATGCTTTTTAATAAATGTGCCCTCTCCCCTGTGTCTGAGTAATAATGACTGCTGAGAGTCGTAATGACAGTCTGCAACCAGCACAGCGGTGGATGTGAATATTCCACCAACAAAAGGCAGCGTGCTTTGCAGTGTGGGATGTTTTGAGTTAACAGGATGGAAGAGCACAGTTTCAGGGCGGGGATACTATAAACTCTGCAGGATATGATTGGCCCTTGGGCTCTAATCTCTGATGACACCTTAAAGTGCTCCTGCTCAGCTCCAACATCCGGCTGCTAAAGTCTTAAGGACACTTATTTAGAGTGTTCAGCCGCTTTCTTTTTCCTGGGGGATATTTATGTTGAAGGAGGCCATTTGATGAATGCTCCTAATTTTAGAAGTCACACAGCACAACTGAAAACGTAAAGAGATAAATGCAAACGCCAGGGGTGGAACTGGATGTTTTCATTAATGCACGACCAAAACTTTGTCTAGTATCACTTTTCCCTGCCATTAATGTGTTCTTGGCTTTCTAGTCTACCCCCCAAAATATACCACGGTCGTGCAGCTGGGGTATTATTGCGGCGGTAGCTTCGGGGCGCCGCTCTGTGTCAAACGTCTCTTTTTCTGACAGCACCTGAACGCAGCACAAGATGAGATGCGCGACCTGTGTCGTGACGCGGAGTCGTGGAGGCGTGCCTCTGATCAAATCAGCTGGGGAAACAACAACACAAAAGGGGGTGGCTCAGAGCAGACACACATATTTACGCCAGTTATGTTTAGATTTCATTCTAACAAAACGTTTAAAACCACAGCAGCATTATATCCGCAGCGAGTCGACACTTGTTGAGGACCGCGAAACGCTGGACTAAGGAGGCAGCGAGGGGAAGTAAGAGGAGGAGGATGTGACAGGGCACAGGTCCTGTGCGACGTCCGCAGTTGTATGCGCTTTTTGACAAACGACGGGACCGCCGCGACCGACTCTCCGTTCTCCGCGCGTCTTTGTCCGGTTTGAGTGACCGGCTGAATCACCAGCAGAGTGGCATGTGGGTCAATTCCGGAACCGTCGGAAGGTAGGGACCCCTCCTGCAGGGATACTGTGTCACATGCTTCCAGTGCAAATTCTCGTTGTGCACAGAGCAATCCACACACCGCTTCTGACATTCTTTACTCCAACAAAGGTGCTGAAATCATCAACTGTAGCCTGCTACTCCATTCATATCCTGATGACCTTATTGTAGCCTACTTAATGGGTTTTTAATCTTCTCTTCTATCTGTCTCTACAACGTCCCGGTAACAGTCCCAAAGGCTTTTATTTCACATGTAGGCTATTACATTGTTTTAGCAAGAGATGTTACAATGGAAGATGATTGTTCTTTTTCTTTAAATCCCACACGTGCTGCACAGACTGGTGTTATTAGAGCATTTTGATTCAGTGTTGGAGTGCAGCGGATGGGCTTGGCACATTACGCAAGACTTATCAGCGCATCATTTTGGATGTAGGCTGATATCCACCTGCCTTTTACAACATCGATGCCTGGTAGACGTTTTTACCACTTCGCTGATTGCTTTTAGTTTCCTGGACTTTATCTCCCCAGACATGGACGCCAATACAATAGATTGCCTGGTTCGTTGAATCAGTTTCCAAAAAAAAAAATATGAATGAGCCAGGTGGTTATGAATGGCTGCGGGGAGAGGGAGCACACGAGGTGCCTTTTCATTGATGAGTGTAGTGATGCTACAACACAGTATTTACTGGAACAGCACGCGGATCTAAACTGTGACAATAGATAACGTGCATAATCTCAGTTCATAAAAGCGCACACGCACTCTCGCACGCACGTGCACGGAAACACACGCGCGCGCACACACACGCACACACGCACACTCTGTAATGCTTATCCCGTGGCCATGACGTCATCAGAGGGATTGTGTTACGCAGGTAGCTGCAGGGCGGGTGAAGAAGACTCTCTTCTACCTGGAAATGAATAAAAGAAAGAATGTTCTTCTTATTAGACCACATTTTCACAGTCTTCAGCAATCAGTCATATCTGCAGGAAGTGGTTGCGTAAACAATTTGTCTTCCGTATCTTAATCTTTTTGGCCAGTGTATTTATCTCCTGAAATGATGTCTATTAATGGCCACCCTGTGAGTGTCACTCATCCTTTTGTGGAAACACCAACTGTTCAAAATTCTGTTCTATGCAATCCTGTCTCTCCACACCCTGGTGAAAATGATTGTTTGGTTTTGGTTTTAGACCTTCTATCACTACTACTGTTAATGAATCAATGATCTGGGCTGTCATTATGTCTACCGTCAGACGGACAGATCTGGAACAGAGCTACTTATTGTCCTGGTTAGGCACTATGCCCAACGCTTGGACTGTGTCAACAGCTTTGAGATAACATGCAGTGCAGCACTGACAGACCCACATGAAAGAGTCAGCCAGCATTATAAGGCTCGCTTAAATGTCCTGGCCCCTGTATCAGGCTGTAGTGGAAGGTACACAGAGATAATAGACCTTGCAAATGTGTATATGTTTATGCCATGTGTGTCTCTCCTTTGGTCAGAACCCAGTATGTTATAATATGAGCCACAGAGTTAAGCACTGTTGGTGGTATGTATGTTTGTAAGCTATCAGGGTCCAGTATATTTTTACATTATATTTAAAACCCCTGTCACATTACCAAAGGAGATAGGTGTCCTGGAACATCTATCACAAGTTTTTCAGAATATCAGCACATTATATATCTTTAAAATTGTATCATTATTGTATTTACAAAATATCAGTATCAGATGATGCTGTCAAACATTAAACATCAAAGCAGAAGAAGAAGAATCTGTACTAAACTGTATGCAAACACATTACATGTAAATGAAGGTAGCAGTGTAGCACAAATGTTTTGCACTTTGAATTAAGATTTGTAATCTTAAAGCAGAGTCAAAGCCATCACAAAGTACTGTAATGGTCAGTGGCAAATGACAGCCCATCTGTATTGGAGTGGATGCTGGAAAGTGTAAGGGCGTGGTATAGAAATGAGACAAAGAAAAATTAGTTTAGAGAAAGAAAGATGGCGAGAAAGAGTAGGTGGAAAATATGGACAGGGGAGGAGGAGGAGGAAGATGAGAAGGGATAAAGGAAATTAGGGCATCAAGAGGAGCCTTCCTGTGTTTACAAAGCATTGTTGCAGTAGAGAGAAGAGACGAAGAAGGGTGTATCTAGCAGGCGGACATGCTGCTCTCAAAGACCCTGTCATTCATTAGGATAAATGCGTACATATCACTGTCTGCCACGGGCTGCGCAGTAACACCAGCACCATCTGCAGTGGGTGAGGCAAGTACGTGCCGGGATGCATGTGTGTATGCATGTCTGTGCTAGTGTGTGTGTGAGTCTGAGGTCTACTGTCAGCCATCCAGAGAGCAAAGCAGAGGCTACAGACCAGGTTATGTAACCAGTCTGTGCCAGCTGCGCCTGTGGCAGTCACTGTCTCAAACACTCACATAAAACACACACTTTCCCCACATACACAAGAGCATACACACCTGAAAGGTATACACAAATACAATTGGGTAGACATTTTCTTTCATGAAAACAAACTTTTGACAAAGAAAAAAAGATTTAGGTCACATACATGATTGCACATGTAGCCATAATTTCTCCCAACAATTACCCATGGACACTTTGACTGCAGTCAAGCCTGTGATAATGTAAACCCTGTAGCTCTGTGTGAGTGTGCAAGTGTTGGCCCATGTATAAAGTGGGTGGTTATTGGGGTCATTTTTTTATAGGGCTGGTTGGAGGGAGTGGAGAGGCAGGCGGCTCTGTCATGGCGTTGGGGTGAACTCTAGCCCCAAGGAAAAGGACAAAAAAGAGGCAGATGGGGTCTGTTGAGGGTTTTGGGATGAGTGGTTGCTGCCAGTGGATTGCTAAAGGTGTTACATAACAGAGAGATGGAGACAGAGGAGGGAAGCAAGGGCTGTGGGAGGGCTGTCTGCTTAATGCTGCTCCTTGATTACTATCCAGAAAAGAAGGAAGATAGATAGATAGATAGATAGATAGATAGATAGATGATTTCTAATAAAAGGGGCGGAGTGTCATGACGTTGGATGTGAGAGAAATAACTGGAAGAGGACAAGGAAGTGGTGGAGAGAAGTTATTACAAGACAATGAGTGAAGTGAAGGATGTGTTAGCTTTGAGCTGGAGCATTACATTCGGGGAATAAATACAGAGTGTGAGGGAGTTTGTCAGCGGGTCAGAAGGTGTGGTTGAGTGGGCACAGCTGGGAACAAAGCAGACTGAAGGATAAATGAAAGTATTTAAAAAGGAAGCAATGAGTGTGTATAAAGAACAAGAGGTAAAGATGCCACAAACTCTGTACTGAGATAGAGCCGTAATCCATCTCCTTATGAAACCCCCTCTGGCCTTAAAGCAAAGCCATACTGAGACACACACTGTCCAAATTATGCATGAGCTTCTTTGTCTGTCTGGTCCTCCTGCACCGAACACACACGCACACACACTGACTCAATCTGACATTCCAGAGTAAACCAGAAGGTTGGTGTTTGTGTGTTGAGTGGGCGTTTGAGTTTCCGTCACAGTGTTCCTATCACTGTGGTCTAGCCTGCACCCATCAATATGTCACTATAAGAGTCAGAAATATGTGCACACAATGCACAAAAACTGGGATGGAATCTCAATTCTTCTTTCATAAACACAATTTTATTTTGGCATTCCAACACTCCTTTGTCCCTGCAGCCTCCTTTGCTGCCTTGTTGGGAAGATGACACTGGCTAGCTAGCAGATGAAGTCTAAACTAGTGTCTGTCTAGTCTGTGTACAGTTTACTATAGGTCGTTGGCTAAAAATGAAACCTGAGCTGCAGCTTCACTTTCCACTCCTCACGCTCCTCTGAGCTGCAGTGTCTGGCTTCTGCTTATCATCAGCCATGCAATTAAAAATAATTGTTGAAGTTTGTGAAAGTTCATAAAGTTCAAATATAAACCTGAGAGCAGGTGCATATGTGCAAGTGCAGTGATGTGTGAGTAAACAGCTGTGTTATGTTCACTGACCGGCACATGACCAGACTCTTTGCTTGGAGCCTGATGCAGAGCCTCAGATGGAGGATGATATCTGGGAGCCGGGTACTCTTGATCCCCCTGAGAAACGGTCCACACCACCACCAATGCTGCCTCTTGGTTACATCACTGCTTGCATCATTCCATGCCTCACAGACCGGCCCTAAGCTCATTAAAACGCGCACACACATTGCACGTTTACACGCACATGCATGCACTGACTTCCGCACTCTGATGGGCCAGTAGAAGAGGATCTTAAACTTTACTCTCCTCTGCCTTTTGCTCTGTCGGTCTTTCTCACTTAGAGAAACACACATTTAACGGTTGATTGAAGCATCAGTAAGAAAAGCTCAGATTTTTTCCCCTGAGCAGCCTTGGTTATTGTTGGTCTTGCCCTTTTGATCCCTGTGGCATGACTGACTGATTCTAATGCTGGGCTGACAGTCCCTCTCTTTCTCTCTAAGACTCTAATAATCCCCTCTCTGCCTTGTCTCTATTGCATCCCTTTTGCTTATCTACTGTTGCATTGGCAACGCTGGGAATTAACATTACTATGCATTCTCTCTCCCTCTGTCAATGCCTATTTAATTTTTGTTTTGTTCGGCTCATATGTCCTTTGTGACTTGTTGTGTATATGTTATAGAACCACTCGTGCAGTATGTCAGGCTTCACACTTGGCTCTTCATCCCTATTTTCCTAATACAGGCCTGCTGCTTTTGCAGCTGCCATGACCATTAGGCAGATAGCTGTTAGATAAGTGCAAGGTTGTGGTAACTTTTTATTGCTTCTTCTATCTCTCTCCCCTACCTGGAGTACGTGTCTCAGAAGGTGTTGCAGCCAGACAGGTGGCAAGGGAAAATGGGTATTTATAACTCTGAAAGGCACAGTTCTATCTGTTCCATATGGACCATTCAGGAAACAGCCTCTTTGACAGCCACTTCAGCTTCGCATAGACAAAGGTAGGCTCTCTGTGCTATAATTTCTGGCTGACGTAATTGGGACTCCGATTGACAGGAAATATGTATTTGTTGTTGTTGACAAGAGAAATCAATGAGGTCTCTGGGGAAGAAATAAGTTCTTTATAGCCGCAGTGGTATTATGAACAGATTGGAGGTGTGTGAGAACATGGAGAGCAGGTCATGGCTGAATAGCAGGGTGCACACATGGCTCATGTGTCTGATGAATAGATGCCATTTTTAGCTGCTGGTGTCTGTCGGTGCCGGACTGAAGTGTGGCACTGGTATCCACGTCAATGGAATAACAAGCAAAGGCATTTATGAATGTTTCATATGCTCTATGGGGCCTTGTGGTGGGTCTTTGAACTAGTTGCAAGGATGGATGGACTGATTAGCTGACTACAGGTCTAACTGTGTATGTGTGTGTGAGGGGGCTGGTTATGCAATGAGAGCAGATTCTTCCAGGAATGTTTTAAAAATGGGTATTAACATGTGTTTTGACATTTTACAAATGTTTGTAAGCAGTTTAGGGAAAAGGGATTTTGATAAGCTGAGTGAACACAGTGATGTGTGGTTTTTAAAGAGGAAGTCAGTTGAGCTGGGTACATAACCACCTCCATCTTGTGCTGAGGTTAGGTTGAAAGGTCGTCAGTATGTGTGGTTGCATACCAGAGTATGTGTGGTATGCAACCACACATACTCTTTACAGTTTGTTTTTCTCAGTGGAAGCTTATAGTAAATATGTTTAACCCCAAAAAGATGATGCAGGGGTCCCCCTGGGCTCCTGAATGACCTAAAAAGTTAATTAAATATGCCTTTATTAGGGATTTTATTCTGTACGGATTTTGTGTTGTGTTTCATCGCTTTGCATGTTTTTTGTAATGCAAAGATGCTATCAATGCATCAAAAGGGGAACAGATACAGGGGAAAGACAGACAAGGACAGTGAGCTCAGTGGAAGTCTCTTTTTGTCTCTGTCTTTCTCTCTCTCTCTGTGTGCTGTTACAGAAATAGCTCTGCGGTCCCTCTATTCCTCAGCCTGCGAACCATGTGTTCTGTTGAGGAGTTTGGCAGAAGCCTCTGTACACTGGTCAGTACAGCTACGGGGGCTTAGAGCCTTAAAAAGCTTCACTGACCTGGACTGGAGAGTTAGAAGCTACTGAGCCTGATGCCAGTTGCTTTCATTGTCAAAATACAGTGTCAATCCTCCTGGGATGCTTTATCAATGTGATTTTAATTTTCCATGAATATTGAATTAACCTCTTCTCTCTCTCTCTCCCTCTCTGTCCTTCTCTTATTCTCCAGGGCCCTCTCCATGGATATAGACACAGACTATGAGCGGCCCAATGTGGAAACCATTAAATGTGTGGTGGTTGGGGATAATGCAGTAGGCAAGACCAGGCTAATCTGTGCCCGGGCCTGCAATGCCACCCTCACACAGTATCAGCTGCTTGCCACCCACGTGCCAACCGTCTGGGCCATCGACCAGTACCGTGTATGCCAGGAGGTGGGCACACATATACACATATACACACAGGCACACACACAGTGCGGAAAGAGCCACATATAGACAAACTCTTGGACAGAGGCGAAATATTATTGTGCATTTGTAACATAGGTAAAAACGTCTCTTTTCAGGCCACTGAAAAACAACTTCATTTTAAAAATGTTGACCATGCAGTTTGACATTGTGCATGATTTTTCTCCCTCTAGCCTAGTGATTGCATAATCCTTCAATTCCACTAAAAACACAAACATCACAATGAAGTTAGGACCTTTTGCCCTGATTAAAGGGATATGTGTCTGTATTGCAGGTGTTAGAGAGATCTCGTGATGTAGTGGATGAGGTCAGCGTGTCCCTGAGGCTATGGGACACATTTGGGGATCATCACAAAGACAGACGATTTGCCTATGGCAGGTGAGCAGATACATGTGCACACACACACACACACACACAAATACACACATGGTTTTAGATATTCTAGCAGCCAGAGCCTAGTTATTGACCTAATAACACAATTGCTGGCTGAACACAAGGTTAACTACCTTGCAACATGTTCTATTTTTTACAATTGGTGCAGCCAAGAGATTGCTTTGTCTTGGCTGTAGAATTTGTAAGGCATTGACACAGTTTTCCTTGTGCTAATATGTGACCAAATTCATTGTTGGCTGGTTCAGGAAAATGTAACTTAAAATGAGTATGTAATTAATCTGTCACACATAACATTTACTTACCCAAAAATTGTTTTCCGTGTAATCCAGTTGCCACTCTTTTTAGTTGAACTCTGCCCTCAAGCTGTTACATCCTTCCTCCACCAGACATGATTGGATCATCGCTCTATCCTCTTACACCCCATTCCTCTATCAAAGCTGCTTTATTGGCATGAAATGCAAAAGTACTTATTGCCAAAGCAAAATCAACAAATACCAATTCAAATGACAGTGACCAAAGTCGACCATGTGACAGTAACACAAAAAAGCGACGATACATTTCATACATCATTAAATGAGTACTGCATATACTTTTTAATCCACATATTTATCTAAATACAATCATTTTGTGTTTAATTTTTTCTCTTTTGTGATATAATGCTGAGGCATCTGTCGCCACCCTCCAATTTTTAGGTCAAGAATGAACTGTAATTATATCTCTCTTTCTCTCCATCTGTCTTTGTTGCCATTTTACCTATTTTATTCATATCTTTCATTAATTTAATGTGTCTCTTATAGTCATAAGCTATAACCAGGTACTAAGACATCACACACATCCACAAACCCATGCATGTATACAACACACTATGCAATCTGTAAGTTATCTCAAGGGTGGGTAAACGCACTTTGTGTAATATGTCACCCTGTCACCTTTTTACAAATGTATCTGTGCGACAGACTGTGTTTTCTAGGATTTCTAGGTTGCATGTAGTTCAGTTTGTGGCCCAAACCTCCTCCCACTCTGTCAGTGTCTGTACATTTGCACAAAGATCTGCCTGTTTGTGTGTGTGTTTTGATATGTGTGTGACTGTCCACATGTCCTGTATGCTTTGTCAGCCTGCAGTCAGCTGATAAAGACACAGTGCCAGCTCAGCTGTTTTCTGCCTGCCTGCCTCCCTGGCGTCTGCAGCTCCAGGCATCAACCTCTCCTCCTATCCTCTACCTCGCTTCTCCTCACCTCTCCCCCATCTCCCTCATTACCCCGTTGCTCAACTCCCATCATTAGCCTCTTTTTGCCCTTGACTCCTTGCTGCTCCTTCACCCCCCCTTCCTCCACTCTGTAGCCTTTTGTTGATATCAAAACTCAAAACATCACATTGTCAGACAATACCCAGACTGTCACATGCTTTGTTAGGAGAGGAAAATTCTGGTTGGGAATACAATCCCAGTGTGAAAATAGGCTAAGCCAAACTTAACCTGAGCCAACCTCAACTTAATTTTTTTCAGTCAGCAGAAATTTATTAAAAAATAAACAAAGCAATGTCATATTGCACTGAGCAGTTTTAGTGGCACGTTATTGACTTTTATAATACTGTTGTGACAGACTTAATAGCTGATGAGGGGTGTCATGCTGGGCTGTGTGATTGCAGAGTGCCTGCATGAGATGCATTAATTTCTTTATTGCAAGAGGAAATCTGATTATTTAGCACATCTCTGCTGTGTTTGTTCATGTTTGAGAGCCTGTGTGTATATGTGTGTCTCTTCTTACATAATCTAGCAACTGATGACCTTTGTAGTTTAGATCCACCACATACACACATACACGTACGTGCACACACGAAATAACCAGTCACTGGTTGAGCTATTTATTACATTAGTGCTGCTGGAAAATTATTTTATTATTTTTATTTAGGTTGTCTACATGACTTCTCATTTTGTATAACTTCTCTTTTGCGCTAGTGTCCCATTGTAAATAAGAACAACAGCGTATACATAAATACAGTATGTAGGTCATCTAGGTTCACCGGCAGGTTGAACTTGGAAATAGCTCTCCAGTGCAATGTAGCAGTCCTTATGGATTGTCCTGGTTCTAATTTTTAATGTTCACCATCACTCTCAGACTTTTAAACTGTCGCAGGTGCCCTCTAGGGATTATATTTCCTTGGCTCTGTTGGCAGCCTTTGTAAAGCTTTCTCCTCTCTCTACAATGTACAGTATTATGCTAACATAATGGTATACTGGGCCAAACTATGGCAGTACGCCCTAGGTTGTAAAATGTTTTCCTTTAACCGTTAAAGGCACCAGAGTAAAGGCACATACACATAACATGACCTCAAACAGACTAAGCCATGGTAATGATCCTTTGACAAAGTGGTGATGGGAATTCCTGTGTGTGTGTGTGTGTGTGTGTGAGAGAGAGCTGTGATGTAATGCTTTGGTAGTGTATATTATGTCCTTGACAGTAGGAGCTTTTCAGATATTACATTAGTGAAAGTAAAGATGGACTATGGAACGTGTGACTACACTGCAAAAAATGTCCTTTGTAGAAAGTAATTTGATTTAGTGCTGTGTGCCTTAAGTAATTCAACTTGTCTCAGGTGTATGTTTTTAATAGAAATTAAGTATTTTTAAAAAAAACTATTCAAGGGTTATTCTTTCAAAACGTGGAATTCTCTTTTCGTAGACCTGTTGTAGGTTTTTCTTTTTATTTGCACGAAGTAAAGTCAGACTCTAAGGTTAAATACTAGATAAAACAAGTAGACAAGACAGATTTTTTTTTACAGTGCAGCGTTTGTCTGCTCAGTAAATAGGCCATGTTCGCTGTGGCACAGGTATTCTACCCTAGGGAAATAAGAGAAGTGTTCAAGTGGTGTGTAATGTTGTTCACAAGTTCAGGATGTGGTTTAGCACCTCGGATCTTCTGGTGAATTCTATATGCCTGAGAAATGTCAAAAACAGGAATATATATATTTCATTATCTGCATGTCATCAATGATGGTTAATGTAGCACAAAAGTTACATAAGTGATACTAGTGAAGTAAGAGCCCTGTGTTGTTGTGTTGTTTTAAGAAGTAGATCATTTACCGTAGGAATTAGATTCTTGCACTGTCAGCGTTGTTCTGATACTAAATGATCCGTCTCACTGATACAGAGCTCGATTTAACATTACCTAGAAACAGACACACATGAACAAACATGCCAGAGAAATGTCAGCACCAGAGAACAGCTTTAAGTGCTACTGTCTGCTTGCTCAAACACATCGGTTGAGGAAATGAATTTGTATGTGTGTGTATCCTGATCTATTCTTAGCCTTCTCTTTGTGGTCCATGCAGCCTTGGAGGGCTTAGGGAGATTTACGTAATAGAGAGAGAGAGAGAGATGGGCCACGCAGATCACCAGCCCAGAGGCCCAGACTCATATTCATAGACACACACACATACTCAGATAAACACACTCACACACGTCTTGTGACCCTAGCTTTCTCGATGGCTCTACCATGTTCCCACAATGCCTTGCAGCTCTTGAACAAGCTTCTTCCATGCACATATCACACATGTTTTAACATAAACTGACAAGATGTTCAGTGACTCAGTGCTGACCTCTTTTTTCTATCTCTCTTTTCTGTCCCCTTCACTCCATCCAAGGCCACGTGTCTTCTCTTTGCTGACATCTCTTGCACATGACACAGCAAATCAACTCGTCATTTTTTTCTATCTCATCTCTAATCTCTGCTATGTTGTAAGTACATGAAATAAAGACATTTTCCCTCCCTCCTTTCCCTGTAGATCGGATGTGGTGGTGCTTTGCTTCTCTCTGGCTAATCCCAATTCCCTGCGCCACGTACGCACCATGTGGTTCCCGGAGATCAAGCACTTTTGTCCCCGGACACCCATCATTCTGGTTGGCTGCCAGCTGGATCTGCGCTATGCCGACCTGGATGCAGTTAACCGTGCACGACGACCCCTAGCCAAGTGAGACGCCTTCTTCATCGGACATTAACCAACAAATTCAAATAGAACATGCACTACAATGGCTTTCAGTGAGGTTACAAGTGGGGCTGCTGCATTTAATCAATTCATCAGTAATGTAATGTTAACTGAATCACTGTAAATAACACATTGACAATTGCCTGACCTATCATTGGTTTATGTTGTGAAGAAAACTTGTAGTGTGTAGAGTGATTTTTTGGCTGCTATACATTCATTAACTGTAATCTCAGTTGTCCCATCATATAAATAAAGTATAGGTAAATGCTGTTGATGAAATGAACACTGAGATGAAGACTTGCGTAAATTTAAAGTAATGTTGAGATTCCTAACTTCCTACTTCCTTTTTACTATATCATCATCTCTTCCTGTCCCACAGACCCATCAAACCTACCGACATACTTCCCCCAGAGAGAGGCCACGAGGTGGCAAAGGAACTCGGGATTCCCTACTTTGAGACCAGCATTGTTGCCCAGTTCGGAGTCAAAGATGTTTTTGACAATGCCATTCGGGCCGCCCTCATCTCCCGTCGCCACCTGCAGTTCTGGAAGTCCCACCTGAAAAAGGTCCAGAGGCCCCTTCTCCAGGCGCCCTTCCTGCCTCCTCGCCCACCTCGTCCCATAGTGGGCATCCCAGACCCCCCTCCCACAGACGGCGAGGGCCCCGATTCCCTTTTCTGCCAGCCACTGTGTGCAGATGTTCTTTTCCTTCTGCAGGGTGGTGCCACTCGCGTCTTTGCACACAAAGTCTATCTGGCTACTTCCTGCTCCAAGTTCTATGACCTCTTCACCCTTGATCTTGGTGGATCATGTATAGGGCCATGGGGGGAGGGACAGGAGAGCAAGGAGAACTTGGAGGGTGGGGAGGAAGATGAGCAGAGTAGAAGAGGAGCCAAGGAGCAAGCTGGGCGCACTAAGAGCCTGGACATTGATAAAGACGGGGCTGATGGAGGAGTGCGGGGCCTGAATCGACCGCAGCTGCTCCAGCAGGGCTCTTTGAGGACTTCCCAGAGTGATAACGCACTCCCTTCTCGTGCCCTGTACTCCTTGGGTGCGCTAGGGACTGGTCGAGCACTTTCCGGATGGGGTAGAGGTTTCCTGAGTGTGTGTCTGGAGCATGTTTATGATCCCATGACTGGACGACCACGACTCATGACTGTTGTAGCCATGGATGCGCTTATACAGGAAGAACCATTCAAGGTGATGGAAGCAACAAGATCGTTAAAAGATATATTCATACTTTACAGGGGAAAATAAAATAATTCTGTTGATGTGAATATTGGAAATGCTCTGCATCATTACTTCAGGATACAATCTTAATGTCATCAAGAGTGTTTTGGAGCTTTCATAGTTCCAAAGCTGTTTATTTGACCTCACGATTTGCTCTGGTTTCAGGCAGTGCTTCAGTACCTGTACACAGGCAGTCTGGACGAGGGCCGAGGGGATCTTATGCAGGTGGCTACCATCGCAGAACTACTTGAGGTGTTTGACCTGCGGATGATGGTGGCCAATGTTCTCAACAGAGAGAGCTTCATGAACCAGGAGATCACCAAGGCCTTCCATGTCCGCAGAGCCAATCGCATCAAGGAGAGTCTAAATAAAGGGACCTTTGCTGGTAAACCACTGTGCCAACCATTCAGCGCCATTCAATACTTTCAGTAGCACTGGTGTCATTGTAAATGTTTTCCATGTATGCATCAGTAGGTGTGGTGTCCTTAAATGTGTGCATGTGTGTGTGTGGGTGTATATGTGTGTATGTGAGAATGGTAGGTGTGAGTAGAGGATTATGAAATGTAAATATAAAATATGCATTTTGTATGTTTTCTGTTTTATGTGTTCTTAAGTACTTTTAAAATCATCAAGTGATTTGATGACTGCCGTTGGAGCCTGCTTGGTTGTCTTGTGTTCGCTCTTGTGTGCTTCCTGTGTCTTATGTTTGTGATGTTTGATCCCTAAGCTGTTATGTATGCATGTTGTCACAGCATTTGCAGCCAGTGCCAGACATCTGCTGTCTCTGAACAAAGCCTGTCTTACATTCACTTCTTTCTATACTTTCTCTATTGTCTTCATGATTATAACAATGGGAATCTTTCTTTAAAATGCTTATAACAGATTATATGATAAATGAAGCTGTTGGCTCAAATGTATAAAGAGATTTGCCTTGTTATTCAAGGATATAATTAATGGTAGATTAAATTATTTTGCTTATAGATGTAGCCGTAATAACATTATTACACTAACATAGTTGCTGTGTTCTTATTCAACACTTTCTCTACCAAAACTCTAGTCCAGACTCCACACAAGATTTGCTCCATGATCTACTACCCTGCGTCTGCTCTCCTTCCCTTACTCTGTGTCAAAAGCTTTTCTGTCCTTCTGTCAATTTATCTCTCTGTCTGTCTACCTGTGTCTATGTCTCTGTGTGTGTCTGTCTGGCCCTCTGTCTGCCTGTGTGTATGTCTGGATGTCTGCCTTGTCTGTCTTTCCCCCTCTGTAGCTTGGGCTTCTGTGGCACTCCACGAGATGAATGCTCTTTTCCCACCCCGGTTTTAGATGTGGTGTTCCGCCTGGATGATGGCTGCCTCCCGGCTCACAAACCCTTGCTCATCTCCAGCTGCAACTGGATGGCTGCCATGTTCCGTGGCTCGTTCATGGAAAGCTACATTGAGGAGGTGAGTTCAGACATACCTGGAAAGAGCCTTGAGGATGGCGTTACCTTTAAGTTTTGAGGAGAGATTTTGTTTCTGTGTCCTGAATCCTTGGAAATTTACAACAGTTAACTTTAGGGGCAACCAATCACACGCCTGTACTCGACACTAGTACCAGCAACAGTAGAAACCTTTTTTATTCTTTCATCAGATGCATCTGATAAAAGAATCAGTAGAGGAGGTAAAGGTAAATGGGTCACTTAGATAAGGTTTATTATTTTGGAGGTGTGTTACTTTGTGACATTGTACAACCTGTGTGTCTGCATGCTTCTGGTATGTGAAATGTTACAGCAAAGGATACTTGGCCGTTGTTATCAAAATGATCTACAAACATGGTTTGCCAACCACATGCAAATGTGGTTGAAGTTCTGCTATAAAAAATCATGTGATAGTAGACTGAGGATGTTTCACTAACCTGTCACAGGACTTAATGGGAAAGTGAACCCATTTTCAACCAGTGAACAATGTTTACATGGCTCAAGGGCTGCTGTTTAAACTACAGATTGTACTTTTTCTGTATACCCACCTCCACAGACAGTCGGATTGAGGGGAATCAAAAGTCTGCCACTGTCATCTGGTGGGATTTGTTCCGTCTGCAAATGAGCAGAGAGCACTGTTTACAGGCAACATGGAGGGAACTTGTTCATTGTTCATTCAACATTGTTCATTTGCATATACTACCCACATTGTTGTGATACAAAGCTGGTTGAAAAGTTTCCCTTTAAAGTAAGCCCAGAAGGGTCCCTATTTCAAGGTCAGCAATCCCCAAGTAGTGGGTCTGGTTACTTTAGGTGTGCTCTCACCTGAAATTCAGCTTCTGGTTGCTTGATGCTCCTCCGGGGGCAGGGCCTGTGCACCGGACCTGACCTAACCAGAGAGGAAGTTCATGTCACTGGCTGTCTTTAAGTCGACGCTCCCCGGACTGTGTTGCAGAACCAGATCCCCTGGGGTATGGTTACTTTCAATGTCAGCAGGGTTTGGTTACATGGATTCAGGGCCCTCAGAAGGATTGGAAGTAATCCTTAGACATGAACAGAGAGAGAGAGAGAGAGAGAGACAAGGAATAAAAACGTGTAAATAAATAAATAAATAAATAAATAAATGTATTTTCGGTTTAGCTGTACAGCTCAAAGTTATAGAAGACATTAGAAAACTAATGTTGACGTGGAAAAGAAAAACATTTTGTTTTTGGTATCCACATGAATAGCCTGGATTTTATTCTAGAACACACCATGTGAGTCTGTGTGAAAGAAGCCACTGCAGCTATTGTGGATGGTGGTGAAAGCAGGACATCAGCATCACTGAAGGGGCACAGTGTTTGCTGCTGGTGGGCTGCCGGTGTCTATGGTTACTCTAAACGGCTCATGTTAGTGACTGTTGTGGCATTGTTTATGGCATGAAGCTGGCACAGCATAGAAGGCAGGTGCCCTGGTGACAAAGATTTAATGTCTGACTACACAATAAAGCTGTCAGCATTTATGTTTATGAGTCTTGTTTGCATATGAATGTATCTGCATTTTTTTGCTGATAAGCTTTGCTTTAGTGAAATTGATTTTATGTGTTAACGGTAAGCAGCAGTTACAAAATTGTCTGCCGGCGTTAAATGGTTCTTATTTCCTCCTCAGACAGGCAAACATATAGCCCATAAAGTGTTGCTAATGTACAGATTGCATTGTCACACTTGTTATGCCAAGACTGTTTTATTCACTTTGAGGCACACATCTTCATGGATAAATGCTAGTTTGAGAAGCCGTGTCAGTAGAAGTAAGCATAAATGCTTGCAAAAACACTTAACACTGGTCTTTTAATAGAAGCAGAGCTTTTAGAGGAAGACACAATAACAGAATTACACAATCTTGACACAGCAGATGGTCTGGTGGAGAAAGTATTAAGAGATGTAAATTATGGTAATAATTAAATATTATTGTTAATCAACTTACAGTGTAATCATATCTAGATGATATATTGGTTATACACTTATTTGATGTTTTAATGTTTAAGCCACCTGACTGAGTGAACAAGTTGAAGATGGGTGATCTATTTCCACAAAACTGATAAAATTAAACTGAATGGATTGTGGTAATTTCAGGATACAACAACATGAACAATGGGGAAAATCATTCACTTAAACCTGCCACCATAAGTAAATAACATGGAACACAGACATTGCATATACTCTACATACTTTCTGGGTATATATGCTTTTTTTTCTTTTCTTTTATTCTATTCTAATTTCAATATTTGTACGCATGAAGAGGCTTCATTGTGCAACCCTGTGTTGTAAAATGACAAATTAATGAACCCTGACCTTGTACAGACTATATTATCATATTATCATTGTTACAACTCTTCTCTAAAGTTTTCGAAAAGCATTATATAAATCCATTATATGGAAATTCATGGCCGAACCTGTAACTATAACTGTGAGATTAGCATGTGATCAGCCAATGCTTTTCTATCTCCATACTCATTTCACACTTACCAGTATTTTTAGGCTCATACATTTTACTGTTCATGCTATTGTGTAATGACTCGTCTAGTTTTATATTGGGGATATGTGTTTCAAACTGATTTATTATCATTATTATTTATAGTATTGTTGGTTTTAGCAACATTATAGACATTTCATACAAGAAGCATATTTGTGAAAAATGCTTTACTTATGGTGTAGTATTCAAAAACCATAAGTCAAAAGACATGTCTGGAGGTTTGCTGTCTGTTCAGGCAGTTATTCAAAATTACCGCTGAATGTGTCATGGCACACCACTGGATTGTGTTTTAGGTGTGTGTCTGTGGTTTTGTGTTCACCATGTGATTGTGCATCCCAGTGGAGTATTACATGCCGAGAAGCCTAGCTTGTCAAATGTGAGAGCCTGTTAATGTCCTGGAGGCTACAGGCTAACTTTTTTTTACAGTACAGGAGGAATTACCTCAATTTTCTAACTCTTTCTCTTAAACTTTGTATCTTATCTGTGGTGGTGGTAGCTATGTGACTCACTTCTTTTTCATCACCCACACATTGTTTGGAGTTTTGACTATTTACACTCATTATGTCTTTACATTATTCTTATTTACACCCTTCAGTCATTCCAGCTATTTTTTCTTTTTCTTTTTACCAATAGATTTGATTATTGTTCTATTGTCTGAGCCTAAGCTTTATGGGTTTGCAAATAAGATAAACTTGCACTAAACTTTTATTTAACCTCTAAGATGGCAGATTGAGTACAGTACAGCTGGTCTTCTCCATAAATGTCCTGTCACTGTGAATGTGTCCACTCATTAATGCTTCCTGGCCCCAGCTGGGGCTTTAAGCTCTAGAGTCTTGGTGTTGTGACATTTTAGTCATAACGAGAGGTCGCGCCAAGCTGACATTCTCCTAATTGGTTATGGGAGTGGAGGTTGAAGAGCGCCTCAGTGGGTACGCTCATAGAGCTCCTGAAGGGGTCAGGTCATCACTTTCATCAACATCTACATTCCTTCCGTCCTTCCTGGGCTTAGACTTCATTACCTGCCACTGAATTGCTGTTGGTCTGACTGAGAGTAATTAGGCTAATAAAAAGGTCTTGCTCACTTGTATGCATTTATTTATTTAACTACCCAAAGTAGAATGCTGGGTTGAACTGAAAATGAGCATGACCAGTGCCTTTGGTGTAGCTAAGGTCTAGTTGATGGTATTGCGACATCTAGAGGTCATTGTTTTTTAGAGTGGATTTTTTGGTTTGGCAATAAAGTTTCACTTTTGCCCCACTGCCCTAATGGTTCATATGTTGTTTTCTCCGAATGTTAAACATGTTTAACTGTGTATGTTGGGAGTGGTCCAGTGATCTGTAATGATCACCTAAACTTGCTGGTATGTCCTATGTTCATAAATTATTTTGTTTTATTACAGGAGCCGAAATATCCATAATCGAATGTACTGTCTGTTCCTTTTGAGAACACTGATACTTCTACTAAAAAAGGTCTGAATCTGATTGTGGCTTTGACGCACATTAGGGCTGGATCTTGCATCTCCCTGTGCCCAGCATAGCAGGGTTGCCTGTGTGTGCTTTGGATTCTTTAGCGTTAGCCATATTGCTCACATCACTAGACCCCAGACAGCGCTTTCATCTGAGCCTAGATCAAAGAGAATGTGACCAGAGCAGCATGTCCTCTGCCCTTTACCTCCAAATACCCACTGCACTGCTTTCATTGATATTACTGTCTTTTTTGGACCCCACCCATTTGTAGCGATTACACTTCATATAGCATATATGAATTTGCCAACATATTATTTTTGAAAGTGTGCAAGTGCAGGAGAAGATACACATAGCCTACGTATTTGCTTTCATATGATACTTCCATGAACTTTTTCTAAACATTAAACATTTTTCATGAAATTGAATGCCTTTATTTAAGTCCATCAATTTTCTTCTTTTGACTTTCAGGCCTTTCTCATATGTTTTTCTTTTTTCTTCTTGATCTGGTCATTTTCCAGGTACCCATTCCTAACACCAGTGCAGCCTGTATGCGTGGGGTGTTGGAGTTCCTGTACTGCGGTCTGCTGACACCCTGTCCTGGTCTGGAGCCCATGGAACTAATTGTTCTGGCCAATCGTCTCTGTTTGCCACGCCTCGTTGCCCTCACAGGTAAAGACTTTCTCTGAAGTATTAGAAATGTTGTAAAGAGAACTACTGATTTACTTGAATGCCTTGTACAGACTATATTTGGCAGAATATGGTTTGGAGTTTTATCTGTAGACAAACTGCCTTTTATCAATGACTCAGATTGTAGAACTCCCATATTACTGCATGTAAACAGTGAATATTGACATGATTATGTACATTTTGTGCGTCTTCAGAACAGCATGCTGTGGATGAGCTTCTCCAGCTGGCAGTGAAAGGGGGTGACATTGATGGACAGGTGTTGGCTTACCTCGAGCTTGCACAGGTCTGTCTTTACAAAATTACCTATGTTTTTATAATAATGAATTTATAATTGATCATGACTTATTCTAAACTGTATTTTTAAAATGATAAATAGTAATTAACCATTAATTCATCTGATAACATTTGATTTTAATCTTTTAATTGTCTTTTACTTCAACTTTTAACTTGTATCCAGTCTGTTCTGTCACAGCTGTATAACTTTCTCCTGTTTTTCTTTTGCAGTTCCACAATGCCAAGCAACTGTCAGTTTGGTGTCTTCATCACATCTGCACTAATTATAATAGCATCTGCCGCAAGTTTCCCAAAGACATGAAGGCCATGTCTCCAGGTACAGGCACTTTGCCGCTCTTGGCCTAGATAATCTGCCTCTCCCAAACCTCTTTCCCCAGAGTAAAACTGCTACTTTCCATTACCAGTTTGAACAAAAATGTCTGAGTTAAGCACACTACTAAGGAACTGTAACATGCTGTGACTTGCTCATAGCCAGCATTTGGTTGGAGTGGGAAGGCTGAATTTTCTTTTCTGGTGCAAGGTAGCTAAATAATTGTAGCCCTTTATGGGCTGTTTTGTAAAAAATAAGCAAATAAAAAGTCTTGCATCAGGTACATTAAAGACAACATCCATCCTCACCTTTAATGAATGTGTCAATACATTTTACACACATTTTCTTAATAGTAGGTTGTTGTTGTTTTTTGACATTTTAAATGTTTCCTCTTTTTTATTCAGTTTCCTCTTTATCTTTGTCTCCCTCTTTGTAGAAAACCAGAGGCACTTTGAGAAGCAGCGTTGGCCTCCTGTGTGGTTCCTGAAGGAGGAGGACCGCTATCTGCGCTCTCAGAAGGAACGCGAGCGTGAGGAGGAGATCTTGCGCAAGCAACACACCAAACGAGGCTGGTGTTTCTGGAGACACCCGTCCTCTTCTCCACACGTCTCCTAAAGGGTTTCCTCCACTGACGTCTTCATCCTGACTTGGGTCATCCCCCATAGGATAACTAACCCCCATGTAACGCATATAGAGGAGGTCGGCTTTGAATCCTCTATCAGTGGAGAAATGACTTTCAGTGCTACTTTGCCTGAATGTCAGCATGTTTGGGGGAATGTATGTGCCTCTTTATAATTGTGGGTGACTTCATGAGTGCATTTTGGAATGCTTGTTTGACAAGTGTAGACTTAACTGAAGGGTATGTGTGAGTGTATGTTTGCAGTTATTCTGACTGAGTGATGCTTCCGAGTTGAGTGCTTCCCAGACGCCCTGATCTATAGGGGCCTGCGGCGTTGCAGTGCAGCCCCATGTCCCCTCCACAAGAGCTCTGTCCCTCCACCAGCACTCACAGTGTCCCAGCCTTTGAGTGATTGGACTGGGAGCAAGGGCTCTCTATCTCTCTCAGTCTCCATCCTTCACATTGACCTTAATGACTATTATACATTGACCACTTCAGCTCCTCTTGTGGAGCTTACCTCTGCCTTCACTTCTACGCAGACTGTTAGCTTGCACACACAGACCCGTGCAAAAGATCCACCCCTCTAAAACCAGCACTGGATTCCCAGGAACTGACACACAAAATGTAATCATTATTATTTTGATATTATTGGACCTTTTTTATATATATTTTTTGCGCCTTCTAGGATGCTCTTTTCAGGGTTAATGGCGCAGACTACTCCCAGGAAGTGTTGAGGACCTTGATTTCCATTTCACCCGCAAAGATGGGATTGTTATTCCTAGGTTTGAGTGTAAGGGCAACCTTAAACCCGTCAGCATGTTAGGATGCTCCCATCTGAAGACTTGATCATAGCTATTAGCCTCCAGTCTAGTACTGATGTTGTCCATCATCCATTCCTGCACCTCCCACCCCCTCCTCCTGCACACCACACGTGCAAAGCAAAATGAGTGGGATTCACCGAACTGCACTTCTGAGACATTCAAAGTGACCACTCTATAGCAATGATGGGGGTAAAGAGGGCTAGCCTTACTTGATACCTCTGCCACGGAGGAATGATGGCTACAGTATTAAACAAATTTGCTTGTTACGTCCATGACCACTAGGTTGCGTTGAAGCGCCTCAGCCAGCCTGCCTTTAAACCCCTACACCAATAGGGGCAGCACTGCTCAGGGCCCCAGCACTAACCTTCACACATACTAACAGGAGTTTTTATGCCTGTGATTGCTTCACTCTAGTTTCAATTATTAAGCGCATCAGTATAACTTAAATCCTTGCAAAGTGTTAGAAGAAAGCTACAGCACATACACAGTGTTATTAGTGCATTTAAAACCTGACTATTGATTTTTACCTAATTTTGAATACCAAAGCTGTGATTTAACAAAAAAAAATCTCTTTCTTCCTCACTTTCTTCATTCCTGGTTACCTGCTTCCGTTAGCAGCAAGAGGGGATGGAGGAGAAAAGAGAAAGTGGCTTTTAGGAGAAGGAGGCAGCATAATATAATAATTGAGTCTCTCCTTGTGGTGTTTTCAGTCTGTGGTGTCAGGAGAAAAGTGTCACTGCTGGACACTGCCTTCCATTCCTCTTGCTGGAATTGAAAATGGTGCTTAAGACACAATAAGACAGTGTCCACATGAACACACAGACACACATTTTTACGTTCACAGTTTGAGCGTTTAGTTGTCTAGTTGTTTAGTGTTTACTTGTTATGAACGTGCAGAAATGTAGTGATGGTATTCAAATTTGACACATGAGCATTTTTCAAAACTTAGTTTTTTTCTCCATAATATGCTAACAGTCTGTAAGAGGTCATAATAGGTCACTGCTTTTAGAATGTATAGATTTCTGATTTTACATACACTGGTTACAACCTTGTATTGTCTTTTGCTGCTCTTTTATTCAGAAACAGTTGGATATGTTTTGCTTCCTTGTTAACCTGGAAAATGATATTACATTAAATTGAATTTGCAGTCAAAGTGTTGTCTCAAACAGCAAATGGCTTGATATATGACTGCATATACGAGCAAATCTGATTTACTTGTTAAGGGTGCTAATTTCTTTGGGCTTTAGGACTGAATGTGAAAACGAGACTTTGTGGTGATGAGTTTCTATTAGCACATTGTTCTATTTGTGGGTTTGCACCGCTCAGCTTTGCCCAGACAACTGTAGGAGAGATAGATTGTGTGAAGCATGTGGTGCGTTCTGCCGTTGTCCATGGGAGGCTTGTTAAAGTCATTGTCAGCCACCAAAATAGAAGTCAGATAGGATCTCACGAGACCCAAGTGAGAATTGAGCTGATTCCTCTCTGAAAAAGAGTGAAAGTTAGAAAAGTGAACAAGTCTCAGTCAGCATTACATGCAACCTACATATTTTGGATTTTCTCCACGGATATTCAAACTCATCCCAGTGCGGGGCTTTGGGAATTTAGAAATGAGTTGGGGGACAGTTTTTGATCGACTTCCATGACCTCTTTTTAGTTCCCCATAGAAGGGATGGCTATTAGATTTGTCTTATTAATGGTTGGTATGACCCACTAAGCCTCTTCTCTTGGTCTGTGTGCCTTATAGTTGGACAAAACTAAAACCTATTTGGGGATTTTTGCAAGATCTTAGTTCAGACCTGCAGACAGGTTCTGCAGTGGTTGACATGATGAATACAATAGACAATGGCCATGATAATGCTATAGCTGTAAAATGGATTATGGTGTTGCTTTATGCACTCACATTATCCTTTTATGAAGGCGATTTTTGAGCCAACTTGAGCCATACCAGTGGAGAATCTTTAGGCTTACTGCTTGTTTTTATGCAGACTAATGGCCTTGAAATTTAACTCTTCATAGAGTGTAGTACAGTAGGTTGGTCTAATCATATGGCCTTGGATTTTTTTCTGGATCGGTAATTATTTGGTTATAGAAGACTCACATCGTGGTTAGAGATAAAAATGACTAACAGGTTGATTCCTGTAGTGTAACTTCATAGAGAAAGTAAAGTTTTTTAATGAGCACTGGCGGGCCTGTGTGCTGGGAGGGTGCAAACACTTTTGGAATGTTGTTAATTTGCATGGTGGCCTAACTTTGTCATTATAATGACACTTGGTGTTGTAATGCACTTTTTTCGTCTATGACTATACCTTTCTGTGCTTAGCATGAATTGTTCCTTATGTAAGATTGTTTCTGAACATAATGATTGTAGCACGATATTTCCACTTAAATTTTCCCACAACCTGCGTAGTGAGGAGCCCAATAATATGACCACTCCAGCTTATTGTTTAAGGTTTAGTTGGCACTGAACCCCACAGTAGCTCTGTTCTTGCTGTGGCTTAATCATTTTAAATTAGCTTAGCACAGCTTAAGGTAGCATCACTAAATATACTTATAATAATATGCTGGGACATTCTAAAGACATTTGCTTGGAAAACTAATGCAGAGGATCTGTTGATGCTGTGCAGTGTTACAGCTTTCCCTTTTATGCTGTTACTGTAGTAAATACAATCAATTAAGCGATTTTTGTTTGAGGGCATTCAAATGAAAGGCATATAAAACAAAATTTTAACTGAAATCAAATACTGTAATGCACATATTTTAAGAATGTCCTGAATTGCTGAAAGCCAAGTGCAAAATTGCGGTTTAGCCTGCATGTAATGACAGAGGAATTGGGTAAAGCATGATGCATGTTTCTGGGTTCTGGGGTGACTTCTGTATATATAGCAGAATTTCTTAACCCTGGGGCCCTATCTGGGATCACTTGGTATACATATGGGATTGTGGGAAACTTCTAAAACTACGATAATAATATAAAATAAATACTGTAGGTTTTAAATATATGCCATAATCTCTAGTACACAACAACTTGAGTATTCTCTAGTAATAATAATAATAATATTGGGGAGATAGAGATGGAGTCACAGGCCAGAAATGGTTGAGAAACCCCTATATACAAAGAGTGAGAGATGGAGATCCAGGCCTCAATATTTGCTCCATGCTGACCCTTACAGGCCAAAGTTACATTGATTTGGATTGTCTTGCTGTATCTTATCACATCCTTTTTACTGTCACATTTATTTTAGGTGGAGCGTTTCTTCCTGAGGCCTGACCCTCCTTTTTAAATGTAAGGCCTAGTGACTGAGAGAACACCTTGTTTTTAGTCTTTGGTGTCTCGTCTCCTGTGCCTTCAGTGAAATCTCACTCTCTTGGTTCAGTACAGGCTGAAGGCCCCGCACCTGCAGCTTTTGGGCTCAAAATAAAGTTGATTAAGCCAAGAATTAAACACGTGAGCACAGAAAGAAAAGTAGGCAGCTTTCTTTAATGTACAGTATCTTAGCATAGTCACTGGCTATTGGGATCGGAGTAATAACTTCCAATGATAACACAGATAAGGAGCTTTATAAGTTTAGTATATAATATCATCTATGCTAAAGCTACGCAGCAGATAATTATAAAATGACCAAGAAACCCAGCAAACCAGCAGTTTTAAAATGTTTTCGCACTCTTTTAGGTGCCTGCACTTTCTATTATGTAGCTTAAGACAACTTTTTTGATAAGTATCCTTTATATATAGCAGTTTTCTTGATTAAAATTAAAATATCTTATTACTTTTTCATTTTCACATGATCTCTTTCTCTTAAATTCAATAGTATGCGCTATTGCTTCTACTATTTAGCTGCAATTTACTATGTTGCAATCATGCATACAGTCAACATATTCTAAATTGGGGAACATAATCTGTGAACTACTGTTTGGATTAAAGGCAGATATTAGCTGTGACAACTATATATACAGTATATTATGCTTTAATGAAGATAGTTGTTATCCAAAGTACATTACAGTGTTGTGCATTTGATATAAGTCCCAGCTGGAATTAGCGTATCACTTTATAACTGCTCACCACACTGTATCTATGAACTAAGCTGGTGTATACATAGGATTGTGTGCACAGAGAGGCCCAGGACAGGAAGAGTGTTTATATAGACAGACATGGTGTAATTAACCCCTCATCTATACTGTAATTTTTCAGTGGATTGTATATGATGTATAGTATTGTTATGCACTTTTGTTTCCATCAACTCGTATGAGTTTTATTAACATTTACTGCTCATGTTATTGTGTGTGTTACAATAATAGGCAGAAGAAAGAGCACACCACACTCACTAAACTATTAAGGGCTTTCAAGAAAATATACTACAATCAGAATGTTTTGCTGCTGTTGCAAAAATGTTTTGAAAGGAAAAAATTTGTAATATTTTTGAACCACTGTGATTTGTACAAAATTTAAAAAAAACAAAATAATTTTTTTCTTTTTTTTTTGCCATTTCAGTATTTTGATGTTTGACATGGATTTTATTAAAACTGTTAATCTTTTGAACTTGTTTCTCATGTTTGTTATTGTGTGTTTTTCTGTGTAATTCATAGACTTTTCTGATATCTGAGTGTCCACTTAATGTTACTCAATTTCAAGATACAACACTAGATAACATGAAATTCTGAAGTAGGAAGAAGGATGCAGCTATCTTGTATTTAGAGTTTGTAAAAACAATAGCCATAGTTTCAGAAAATGTGAGAACATATTTTAACACATGATGACCAAAAGACAGAAGTCGCATAAGAAAATCCTGTAGCACAATAACTGAAGACAATAGGAAGTGGTTAATGGTAAAAATGCTAAATATGACAATAGGCAATAAAAAAAAAGTTAAAATGATGATGATTTTAGCTGCCTAGCGAAACTGTCTTATTAGAATCACCGGTTTATATAATCTGGTTGTGTTATTACAATATGTACGGTCACTACACTCATTTTACTGCTTTTGAAATATATATATATATATATATATATATATATTTATAAATATAAATATATATATATATATA